ATAACAAAGACATAACTTGCCTGTATAATGTTTGAGTTTTTAAAGTTCAGAAAGTACTCACTATTGGAGACAGAGGCTACTTTAATATCATATTGTACATTTTTTTGAAATTGAAGTTACTAAGAACGTATGGTCCATGTAAGATCACAACAATATAGATACTAAAAAATATTTCCAATTACCAAAGTACAAAGAATAATGCCCATTTTAAATTTAAAGTTTGTACACTTCCTTGTTTAGACCACTAGTTCAACTCATACTCTCCTTATTAGCAGAAATATCTTACAGTGTTATTTTTGTGGGTTTTTTTTCCTTATTTTTTGTTCTTTATTTTCTGAAACAGATGTGTAATATCACAGCCTGTATTAATCCCCTCTTCCAAAATATTACAAATAATTGGAGCACATAAAGGCAATAGTACATATTCAACAGGGTAGTAACAGCATTTGAAATGGTAGGGAATAATACAAGAAGTAGGATGCACACTACAAAAAATGAAAAGGAAGTTTTATCAGGATATGTATCAAGAAGGAAAAAAGGTCACTTCAGGAAGTATCCATACTTTACTGGATAACATGAGAAAGAACACAAAGAATATTACTGGCAAAAATTAGATTTCAAACTTTGAGCTGACCCTAGAACTCTGGGCCTAAGCACAGAGACTGGCTTAAGTCCACACATATATATCAAGAAATACTGTAGTTATACAGGTTTGTCCTTTCTGTGATTAAGAGTTTTGGGTCATTTGTGCAAGAATTGGAAATTTCAGGTGTAAACCTATCTTCTGTACCATTTTACTTTTGATAATGACATTTGTCATCATCTTGATTTTCCAATGAATTAGGTTTTCCTTTAGAGATACTCTGGAATTAAGCCTGTCCATGAGGAGCTCACTGCAAAAGTTATATATTTATAATAGCTTGGAGTCTGTAGAAATACTTGCATCTAAGCACAATTTTTTTGGTTTTTTTTTTTTCATTTAAAATATACACTATAACTCATCAAAATCGAAGTGCATCAAATGCACTACACAAACATATAAAGTGGATCAGACACTGGTCACAAGCAGGTATTTGTGAACTAAAATTTAAAAACCTAAATTTCATAGAATGAACTAAAGTACTAGTAGAACATTCTATCACTAGAATACACCAACACAACTCACAAAATATATTGTTTTCTTCATTTAACTATTAAAAACATTATACAAAATGCCATGTCAGTTCTATATAAATATGCTGAAAAGAAAGATTAATATGGCCATCTAGAGGACAAAGAATGATGTGAAAACATACCACACACATTTTCAGGCTTCAGAATAAAACATTTTTAGAGGCATGCAGCCAGAAAATAGATGTAATAAACTAATTACGTAATTGATAATAAGTGAACCTTAAAATATGATCAGACATTTTGATGGTCTTAGTATTGTAAACATTAATATTATACATGTTTTTAGCAATGTAACTAAAGCTTACAGGGTGTATTAATAAAGACAAGATTATATTTTTGTCTCATTAAATTTTGTGTGTGCACTTAAGAATGCACACATATCTAAACAAACAAATATAAGAAGTGAAGACTGAAGTGTAAAGAGTTATTAGTAAAACTGTTTATTGACTCCTTTGAAAACACACAGCAAGATGTGTTGCAAGATACAACATGTGATAGAGATTAACTGCGGAGGAGAAATTAACACAGAACTTTCCGAAAATGAAATATCATTTTCTTTGCTTGTATTAAGCTACCTCTGATGGAATTTTTAACGATATCATCAGAGGCTGATTTATAAGCAATGAGAAGGGGGGAAACAGAGATGAGACAAAAATGACTTCTGTCGTCTCATCACTTCACTGTAACACTATCAAGCCCTGCTCAACATACGGACTGATTGGTGCCTGAAGCTGGAAGTACAGCTGAAATGTTTAAGTCTTAAAAGCAGAAATGATAAAGTATATATGAGGAAACAGAAGCACACAAAGTCAGATATATTGACAATTTGTTTTCGTATTAAATAAAGTGCATAGGAACACATTGCTTGCTCCCCATCCACTACAAAGAATCAAGAAATGGTCCTATCATTTGCCTTTACCCTTCTTATAAAAATAATTCAAAAGCCATAAAAAACAAGTATTTAATGAAAAATTTCAGGATTCATAAGGCATCAAGTCTTCTACAGATTTATTTTGCAAGTTTAAGGAACAGTAAAGCTTTGAATTTTTAAAAACTTTACTGAAACACCTAGAATGTTGATGCTCTCCACTTGGAATCAGAGATTTTTAACCACATCTGTTCAGTGAACTGTTTCTCTGAACACACATGAACTGTTTGGTAGTGACAGCCAGTTTCTGGTTTATTTCTGCCTGCAGGCTTTCTTCATGAGGTTTCCACCTTCTCTTTTCATCAAAGTTCTAGGTTGGGCAGCTTTGTCTCTGTAATGATCATAACGTAATGACGCACACTCTGCCTTTTATGCTATTCTAACACATTTTTATCATTATGCAAAGATTCTTTCTTTTATGTTTGAAATAATTTAGGAAGAACATAAAAAGTAGTAACACTAATTATTCTAGTGTGCCACCTTCAGGTCACTGAAAAGTGAAAAATACTAGGTTGTTTATCTGTCGCTATGTCCAGTATCACAAAACTCTTTTTAATAGTATTGAACATAATTTTGTTGAGACTAATGGATTGCAAAAATGAGACAAAATCATCACTCTAATTTGCAAGCATTTTGCCAAAAATGATAGAATGACTGCAGGCTATCAAATAAATAATGTTGCTGATTCTCCACTCCTTTTAAAATGTAGGAAGAGAATGCTCTCACAAGCAGCAACAAAAGCAAAATACTGACAGTATTAGAGCTTTTTTTGCAAGTTGAAATATGTGGTTAAAAATTTACAATTTTCTAAGTTAGAATGTTTTGATAGCTTTTGGTTTAAAAGTTTTTTTCCAAACCCTGAATGTTCTTTCATTATAATAAATTCAACTTGCATACTAATTTTAGAGTGAATATGTGTGTGCATATATAAAAATGGGGTTTACATCCAGTCAGCTTCCTGAATGGCAAGAGCATTGAGAAAGGATAGCAGCTGGTGACAGATATCTTTAGCAATAGAAGAAAAAACTGAAAAGGAGGAGGGAGGAAAACAATTGTAACTTTCCTGATGCAGTACTTGGACTTGCCAACAGGGTTCTTTTGTCTTAGATTCTAACCATAATACAGATTTCCAGGCTGGAGTTCTCATTCCCCAGAAGAGCATAAAAGTCAGTGACTATGAATTTTGATGATCTGATAAGGTGATAAGGAAGACAATTATTTAAAAAAAAACAAACGAAAACAAAAAACCTGGATACAGGCTAGCACAATGCCTTTGGAGCTTAAGTCTTATAGGGGCAAAGTAAAAAGCTCACATGAACTGAGAACTTTTCACTGAGAAGATGAACTAGATAGGATAAAAAAAACCTGAACAACTGTGAAATAGAAAGAGGAATGTCACAGGTTCCAACATGAATTATTCTATGACTGTTTCAACAGCCAGCCTCAATAGTTTGAAAAGAGACAAATACATTATTCTGGGTATCTGAAAGTTGTCGTCTTGCATAATTTGTATCTGGTATTATTTGCTAATAAATAGAATTGAGTTTTCCATCTTCTGTTAATATACATCACCAATCTTTCCCAACAGTCACATAAGCCGTACAAAAAAAATTTGTATCTAATCTTTTATATCTCCCCCACCAATGCTGTTGATAGATCTAAGTAGATATAAAAATCAAACATGATACTTTCACTATCCCTCTTCCTTGTTGTCCTCCATCACAGTGCCCAAAGGTGGGTTCTTACCACCTGACCTCACCTCTGCATCTCCTTCCCTATTTGCTGGAACTCAGACTCCCAGCCTTCCTACAATTTAACAGCAAAGGAAAGAATAAAAATTTCTGATGATCAGAAAAGAATCCTCTTACTCTGCAACTTACTTCAATTATGGCTTTCATGTCCTTTGTGTCTTAACTTGGAATCATGAATGAGCATGCACTAATTTCAAATTTCAGTGGCAAACAGACTTTTCTATATTTGAATTACATCACATAGTAGAAAATTTACATTTTTTTCAAGCAATTCTGGACTGTATAGAACATTTAAGGACAGATATCTTTTAATTACATGTATCCACTTTTTTTAGACAGTATCAATCACTAGAAAACCTTTGCATTTTAACATATTAGAGGGAGATCAATAAATACGTTACTATAACACAGCATCTATATTAGAATCTGACTTTTATGTAACTTCAACAAAAGCTCACTTTTCATGCTAGAAAATGGCTATGGACACAGTTCTCACATACAGCTATTTTCAAGCACAAAAATTATATTGACAAAATTGACAGCAGAATTCTCAGCCTCTGTGTCAGGTTGTCACCCTAACTTAAAATCAAGAAATGTATACCACAAAAGAAAATATCCATTGTTTACATCCAACTTTTAATGCCATGGAAAAATTATATTAATCTAAACTTTGTAATATATTCTTTCTGTGATTTCAAGAGAAGAAAAGATACAGAACATTCCAGTAATGCACACTGCAATGACCATATGCACCATTAACCAATAACTAATACTTTGCTGCTATGACAGCTTATCAGTAAAGGAACAACAGCTCTTCTTTGTATTTATAACACCACAGTATTTATCAAGAGTTGCCATGCTTCCTTCCTAAATCAAAACAGTTTAAATTCCCCCCAAAATAAAATTACTAATGATAAAACTGTATGAAACTTAATATAACAAGATATTGTATCATTTGCAGTATTTCTGGAAGAATGCTCACAAGCCTGTGCCATTTTTTTTGAGCATGCACAAATATAAAAGATATCTGGATATTTCTTGCAGACATTGACTATTTGCAAGTCCAGCTGTCTTTGTCTAGGACTTAACTTATCCAGAACATAATTCTGAAATTTGGAATAAAAGGAATGCTTTTAAATCACTCTTACCTTCATCTATTGAGGCTTCACTACTGTATCCATCATATTCAGCAGACAGGGGACTATATTTTTGTCTGGTTTCCCATATATAGTTTTTTTGCTGTCTGCCATCCACCACTGGCAGCCTGGAACTCTGGGTTCTAGACAAGGCCTCATGATATTTACCCAGTGCTTCATCTTCACTCTCAGATGATGAACCATGCTGGTCTTTACTCATATAAGAGTTGTCTGTTTGAATAAAATAAAGCAAATCGACTACAGCTCAAAATAGAATACAACAAAATAACCATAAGAGGTTATCACTGAAGATATTTAACCTATTTCAATTAAAACTTCTGTAATATTTTAAAAATATCATCTCCTTGTAATTATAAGTATTATGTGATTTTGTAATTGGTTAGAGCTATTTTTATTTTCTAGAAAAACTGGAAGATCATTAAGCCCCCCAAAACCATTCTAAAACTTATTCAACAGAAAATGGATCAATTTATGTAAGGCAGCACACACTGAAGTTCTTCAAACCCTTCATTAAGTAAGAAAATGCTTAAAATAATTTATGTAAAGTAAGTCCAACACTGCTGCAATATTACATTTGGATATGTAACATATCAAAAAGGCAGCTCCTGATCCTCCATTCCCAGCTGATTTTTGCTGTGAGCATGCAGTGTAACATAGAAACGAAAGTGATTTACAAAGAGAAACCTACAACAAAATCGTCTTAAGATATTTATGTCAGTAGTGCTTAAACTCACAATAACAAATGGGGAAAAAGCTAGTGAAAGATGTTTGCATGCACAATTTTATTTAACTTACAATAAACAGCCACTTGTTCAATAACTGAAATTAATGCAGATTCTCACTGCAGACATCTGGCAACAGCAAAAATTGTGCAGAAGAATCTATCTAGTTAATTCTTTTATACCAGTTCTTCTATAATGCCCAATACTGTGGCCAACTTTTTCCAACTATATCTCAAGTATGACTTCCTCCCACAAGTCAAAGATTCAGCTCCATTTCTATTTTGGTAAAAAGAAAGCTTCCTCCTCCCTTTTCCAAAACTCACATGGATTCTGTCCAAATTTAACATGCCATGCAGAAGTTCTGCAGATTTCAAACTCTAATAGGCATTAAAAGAATTCATGTAAACTCAGTAAAGGTCAGCATTACCACTACTCTGTGAGCAAGCCTATGGTATATGATTTGCCAATGGATTTCCATTACCAGCAGAGCTACGAGATGCCCATAATGCTGTTTTTCAGCTCTTGATTCTGCAAGGGAATATTGTCTAACACGCTATCTAGCCACATTCAACCGCTTCTCCCCTCCCTGCTTTTATGCCCTCCTCCCAGTCCCCTATCCTTAGCTCTAGTTCTGCATTTCCACTCCCATTAGTCTGTCTTCATGCACCAGTCTCACTCCTCTGCCTAGGTATTCCAACTAAAGGAGGGTTTTGGCTTACCCAAAATTCAGCCATTTAAAATTAAAGTAACTCAACCTATTCCAGCCACCTAGGCCCTCTTTCACAGTCAAGTGTTTGCTTCTTCCTACTTCCTTCCCTCTTTTAGGTAAGCCTCTAGAGCAGATGAGTAAAATCACTTCCCATAGAGGTCTATTTCTCCCTGATACTCATACAAAAAGCCTATGCCGCAAGTTTAGGTAAGACATCTTTTGCAAAATTACATTTATATGAGTAGAAAATCCTAAATTCCTGTCTCCTGGCCCCATATTCCAGGTTCCTGCTCCAAGCACCCACTTGTGGTCTCTTATGGGGATTTCCTCTTCATTCTCTTTATCTATTCAATCCCAAATTCTTTTTACTTGCACCTAACCAACTACTGATGTAAGCTCAGTCTTTCACCCTTAGTTTCTCCACCTTCATGTAATGTTATCAGTTCTCTCCATAGCTGTCACTCATCCTACTTCAAATCCCAGTCTACCACTTGCACTGTGTCATATTCCTCACATAAGTCATGTTTATTCTCAATTCTTCTGTTCAAACTTCCAGTGTTCTTCAGTAACCGTAAGTATCAAAAGCAGGATAAGACCTGCTCTGTTCTTAAACCCCTACAATGAAGCATATGAGTGCAAATGGGATAGTTAGTGAATTTAGCAAATTATAAGAAGTGTTTACCATGCCTTTTCAAAAGGCAGAGTTTCTGAAGATTTACAAACTTGGTCAAACTTACATGTTTTTTCATAGAAGAACATGGGCATATGTGACATGGGAAAAGTGCTCTCCGACATTTCCACTACATACTCCAATATACAAAGGTGCTGAAGCATATTAGTGAAGCAGATGTGAAATCTACCTATTTTTTGCACAGATAACCAGCATGTTTTTCCCATACTCTATTCCAGGAAACAGCTAAAGATTTTAAAACTATAGCTTAAAAAAACCCCAAACAACAACAACAACAACAAAACCCAAAAAACCAACCCCCAAACCCCAAACCATCTCAGATAGAAAGCATGCCAAATTTCATCCCAAGTATTTCAAATTTGGCACACAGTTTTAGGAAACTGAAAATAAGGTCTTGAAATGGAAAATGTCAGGAAACCTTAACTGCAGATGGTGCTGCCAGCTCTACATGTAATGTGTACGTAATCTTAGTTTAGTATTTATAGGAAAACTGGTGCCTTAAAAAGAGTGCTAATGAGCAACGAGATCTTTCAAATCCAGGCTATCAATTTTAATTCAAGTCTAACAGATATGGTTCTTCCCATTGTATGGATGGCTACAAAGCAAGTTCAATTATTTCACTGATCACTTATTGAAAATACCATACCAAGCAGGATATATTCTGGCCAGCAGATTCACTCCAAGAGGCTGCCCAGAAAAAGAAGCCTCCTTTGCTGGTACACAGAGTAAAATTTTGTATCTCATATGGCACCCAACAGGTTGAAACCTGCCGCCTAGGAAACTTTTACAGATTTCCAGAACTATAATTAAAGTAGGGCATACCAGGACTAAAATATAGTGCCAGATATCAGTATTAGATACATCATTTATCATTACAAGAAATGTATTCACAAATGTGAAACTAAGTTCATTAATCAGTCTATATAAAGAATGGAATACTATAAAACATGGTAGCAACATGTTTGAAAGAAGTGCTGAAAGTTATGCCTCTAATAATACACTGACATTTGTAAGCATCCAGAAGTTCTCAGTGATACCAGATATTTTTTCTCCAGTTCCTAGCATAAAAGAAAAAGAACGAGGATGTATACTATTACTACAAGTCATGAAACAAGAACTCTTCAGAGGACTTAAAAACCTCATTAAAGTTAAAACACAAGCTATCCATGCAAACATTTTTAAAATGAACAATACAAATCTGTTTCAGTTTCTTGGGGAAAAATAGCTTCCTGCACATTAAAAAAAATCCTCAGGGTTTTATGCCTCTACTTGCCACTTCTCTTTGGATTTTTATATCTTAGTTGGAAACTTGCCTACAAGAATTCAGGTTCTTATTAAAAACTTTCTTCTATTTGGCTAACACAAGTCATATGTAATTATTAACTATTGAAAGCTACTAATTTGCTTATTATGGGACCTAAAATGCCATTTTTGATAGAGAACATACTTTACAAATATTGTATTACGTGAAGAAATAACAGATAAGATCACAGTTTACCATACAAACACAGAAACCACTTCCTAAATAAAATAAAAAAACCAAACTGAAACAAAACAAAAAACCACCAAAACCCAACAAAAAAAAAACCCTGAAATTTTCAGACAAGGGAAAACACACACACTGAAAAAAACCCAAACCTATTTCTATTATGAAATCATTCATTTCTCTACAGAAACAGCATCTCCAGAAAAGCCCATGTTGCTTTATAAAAATTCGCTACACAGCCTGCAAAACAGTTGTGTAAAAATGCAAGGTTTTAATTCTTACTCACAAACTATTATTGTAATTTCACTGTCACATTGTTTAAGACTGGATGCTAAGGACAGCACACATAGCATCCATATCAAAAATACATAGGTTTTCTTTGTAACACTACAACTTTAGTTCTTTCTATACTTAAAATCACTTAATTGCCACTTCTCATTGAGTTTTGTGTCTTGAAATTATCTTACATATCCCAGAAATACATTCTGAAGATCTACTATAATGTAAATGTAGCCGAAGTTATTTTTTTTCTTTATCATCACATTTTATGCAATGCTTTTAAAATACATAAAAAAACCCCACTTTCACAGAACAAGTGTTAATTTCCAGTATTAATTAATTCATCGTTTTTAACAGAAACCACACAAGGCACTGCAGACAAGGTAAGAAAAACTGTATATAGAAAAAAGAAAAGTTAGAACATAGGAAAGGCATTTATTAATCTGTTCCTTTAGGTAATACTTTAAAAAGTAATTAACTTCCAAGAAATATCAACATAATTAGAGAATGAAGCACTGACAACACAGACATCCACAGGAAATGCTATTATTAAATATGCAAATTAGGTGAAAAAAGTAGGAAGTATCATAAGTTTCAGGAAAGGTTGAAGAATGGAGTTTGCTGATAGACTCCTCACCTTTTCCTGCTGTCTTCCTATTACATAGCTCTCTTTCTGATTTCTTTGAGTTTTTCTTTTTACCCATTTTTGCAATTGTAGTTGACACATATTCTTCATCCTTTGATATGAATTCTCCTTTTCTGTCAAAAAAGGCTTCAGATTTCTTTTCTTTTATTTCATTAATGCAATTGGGGTGGTCATTGTGCATCTTCTTCAAGCTGGAATCTGATAATTTTTGCTTCTGTACTTCAACAAGTTTTGTTTCTAAATCTTGGGGAACGTTCATACTGTGCACTTCTTCAGAACCCTTAAAATCACCTCCAGGTGACCGCGGTTTGATTTTTCTATGCAAGCGATTCCCAGATTTAGCTGATACTGCACACAGGCAATTGTCTTGTTCCTCAATAGAGTGCTCCATTGTAAATTTATTACTTTTCAGGTTACTATCCTTAAAGAACTTATCATTGACAAAACACTCATTTCCTCCTACTCCTTCCCTTTTAAAAGGTCCTCCTACAGTCTTCAAATCCTGAGGTACTTCTGTATCACTTGAATGATTATTACTATCTGTGCTTTTTAACCGGCACTGGTTTTTGTCAACAACATGGTCGGATACTCCATCTTGACTTGTATCTTTTTTTACAAAATCTAACGAATGAGTCTCTCTCTGTTCTGCAATACCTGTCTTCGCTTTCATATTAATTTCCTGAGAATGAGTTAATGATGGTGTATGTTCCTCTCTCCCTTCCAGGGGTTTATCATTCTGTATTTTGGAGCTTTCATCTTCTGCTCGAAGGCCATTTATCATGCTTGTTACTTGTTCTGTCACTGAATCAGCTACACTGTAGCCAACCTCTCCAACAGCACTGGTCAGATCATCCACAGCACTGCTAAGCGTGTTGACCAGTGAAGACACAGAGGGAAGGCTCAGATTCTGGTGGAGGTTTCTGAAAAACGCCATTTGTCCAACCTATGCAGCAACAACTTTTAATACCGAAAGGTCCTCTGCTTCACAAACAGATCAACTCCATTTCTCCAAGTTCAATTTGAGAGCTATTTGCTTTTGCTACCTCAAACTCAATACATTTACCAGGGGAAGTTGTAGCTTTGCTCTTTCCATTCAATATGCATTGAAAATAGTAAGAAAGCAGCTAAGTAAATATCTTGAAATGAAGCCACAATCAACCAGCAAAACCATAGTCTTTCATCAACTGCAGCATCAACTAGCCATAATAAAATTCATTCTTTTCAAAAATAAGACAACTGTGTGAGGTGGAAACATGGTTTTTTTATTCTAACCTGCAAAGAAGAAGTTGTGAGACATTTAAATTATGTCCTTTCATCAATGTCACACTAAAACAAGCTTTTAACATAATAGCTGCACAAAACCACGCATCATGGAGACTTCTTCAGCCCAAAATATTTGTTGTCTTTTACATAAGGTAAGATATTTTGAAACGTGAAGACTTCTTTTGTGGCAAAAGAAAGTTAAGATGACAGACTTAATTTCCAGCGAGGAGAACTTTTTCTGTCTCCAAAGAAATTGAAAATAAAAATTTAGCTGCACCTTTCAAAGAGGTAGAAGGGAAGAAAACCTCCCAAATTTCCCATTCCGTTCTCTGGTGCCTGCCTCTTCCTCTCAAGTCAGCTAACTAACAAAGCCCATTCAATTTCCACAGCCCAAAAGTAGAAAGGGGTTATTTTAGCAACCCTCAATATCTTTTTAAAGGTCTATTTTTTTAATTTCACATTATCGTTAAAGACCTTCTTCTATTAAAAAAGTATAGAAATAATTTGTTAGTCAGAGATAAGATGTCTTTAGTTTCTAATGTTTTACTTCTTTAAAATTATTTTCCAGGTGAGTAAATGCAAGACCTTCTCCAACAGGTCAGTGAAGGATTTTAACAGGCTGAGTGAAAATCCAATAATCCCATTCATAAATTTACTTGAGAAGATTTAATTATACACAATTATGGAACATTTAAGGTATATTAAAGAGTATTCTCATAGTGCAAAAGAAATATCTTCCCATAAGCAAATGTCAACTCTTCAGTTATATATAGCTGTTGAATTTCTGTGGCTTGTGAATACAAAGGTTTCTTCCTTTCCACATACTGCACAGTCATGGTAAAAGTCAACATTGTGAGTTTTCATCACTTGAGTCAAGCAATTATTTGTGTATTTCTACACATCGTTGTAAAAATGTGCATTCTTATAATTAAGTTTAGTACACTGTATTTCAGATACTTACAAAGTTTATCTTGTGAATTCTTTCTTGTAGTGTATCCTGAATCAAGATCTGGGAAACCACTAACATTTTCGAAACACATCTTCTTATTAATATATAGGAAAAGTAGCAACATGAGAATAATGAACACCCCAACAGCAGACAGGAATCCAATTGCTTCAGGAGATACTAAAAAGAAACAGAGAGAAACACGTTTTTAAAAGTCTTGTAAAAGTTTAACTCGTAAAAGTTATAATATTTATCAGAATTCATCATTAATAAATACTACTAAATTTCAAAATATATATGCAAATATAACCAAAAAAACACCATTTAAATTTGAGTTAATGTTTAATCATCTTTTCAAAGAATAGAAAAGTATCTGGTCCTAATCTAAGGGATGACTGACATTGTGAGCAAGAGGTTCTGCTGGAGTACTGGACCCCAAAACAAGACAGGGTCTCCGAAGAAAATGGGGAGATTATCAGCAGATGCCAAGGCCGATGATTTTTGATGGAACATCTGAGACAGCGCTGGAGCACTGGAAGGGAGCTAAGAGCATTCCCCTCTCCTGGAAGGGGCTGGATGTTTGGCTACCTGGACCCAGGGCCAAGTCTAAGACAGTGCTGCTGGGGAGGGACTGAGCCCTTGCTGGTGATGCCATTGCCTCTGCCAGCCATGTTCTGCTGAGCTCCCAGCTCCTTTTTCCTTAGGGACCAGCTGGCCCTTGCTGCTCTCTGACAAGTAGTATGCTGTGTGAGCAAAAAACAGAATGAGAAAAAGCAAATAATGGTATGTTCCTTGCCCTGGTACATGTGCCACTTGCATATTAACCAAGAAAGAGCTAAGTGAAATAGAGATAAAGCATACTTAATCAAAACCAGGTAGAGGAAAAAGGCTGAAGTAGACTGACATGTCTTAGAAAGTGCATAAAATAAAGAATATGTAATTGCTATTAAGCAGATAACTGAAAGGGAGTATTGGGCATCTTTTGCAGAGGTAGAATCTTGCAAGTCCATCACTATCCAAGTAACAACATCAGTAATACCATTTAAGGCCAAGAGTGGAAACGGTTTTAGAAATATGAAATCTGGGAATAGATGTAGCAAATTGGACCAATGGGGAAAGAGTAATTAAGAGGCAGCTTGTTTATCTGAAGGGAGACTGGGCAGAGAAAGGGATACAGAAAGGCAGCAAAAAAGAGGGCCTAGAAACGTAAGAAATAATGAACAAGTTATAAAAGCAGTTCAAGAACAAGAGAGGGCAGATGTTTTGACAGGAGGAGTGCAGATGCCCACAGACTATAATGAAGCTCACATGCTTCATTAATCAAGGTTGCCAGGATGTCAGAGGGAAGACCCTTGGGCAACCCACTGGACTCTCCATTGGGTTTACACATCCAAAAGACTTGATGTGATACGTTAAAGGGCGACAGAATTGCAAATTTGTTGCTAAGTAGTGTGGGAGGTTAAAGAACTATAATCCAATAATATTTAGGTGCAATTTATAAGAAAAAAGTGATAGAACTCAATAACTGCATGCAATTAACAATGGTGTAAAGCATTATAGAACTACTAAGTGATTCAGTCGTATGTTTATTAGTTAATTAATCTGTTAATTGGTTTATTAGTAGTGTGCTGATCAACTAATAAACATTATAGCCTCTTATATCAGTTATGTCTCAAACCTGCATTCTAAAGAGGGAGAGTAGGACCTTGAGGTAACAGACACCTTAACACTCCAAGTGGTTTTTGTGGCCTAAATACACAGACATGCATCTTTCAGGATTGAACATGGCTGCATTCATCTGTATGAAAGCTAGGATTTCACATATCCCTTTCTTTCAGCTGCTTTTGCTAGATTCTAAGTGTCCCTCTACTCACTACCATAAATCCCACTCTTGGGGGTTGATTTTTTTCTCTTTATAAAAGATTTATGAAGATTTATCAGACTTATGAATTCCATTTGCCAAGATCTTGGCACTTCACTTTAGGAGTATAATGCTGTGTGGCAACATCTTTCACTATGTAAAAGGAGTGGGATTAAAGAAAAGTTGGCAACAGACGCTGCATTCTCAAGATATGCAATACAAAAGGACAAGAGGCAACAGTTCACAGTAGCAACAACAAAAAATCCAGTTGGAGATGAGGGGAAAAAAATTACAGAATAAGAGGGGTTTTTCACTGGAACAGACTGCCTAGATCAGTTATAAAATCCAACTTTAATGTTAGCCCTGCTTTGAACAGGGGGCTGAACTGGGAATTACTTTCCCAGGAGCCTTCCAAATTAAATTACTCTTTGGTCTACATATGTCCTTTGTAAATGTGGGCTCATACATCTATGTAAAAGTGCTGACTGAGAAACACACACAGTTCCACAACCTCCTCAGTTTGTTTTGCGGGATGACAAGGAACATTTGTGGTCCTGTTCTTAAATAATTATACAGGTGTGTTTTAAAAACTGGAAAAAAAAGATCAAAAGCAATGCACCTTACACCATCTAAAAGGAATTGGTCAGATTTGCACGTTTACTTTGAGCTGGACATCCAGACCTATCTGAAACTGTGAAAATTATTTTTGCTTCACTTTTTACCTCTGACCAGAAGAGATCATGTAACATTGTGCCTAGAACCCTGAAAATTTTCACATGAAAAGGAACCTGCCAACAACTTTGAACCACCCATCCTGACAATACTACTAAAAAAATACCAGAATGGCAACCAAAGAACTCCCAAAATGATAAAACAGAAACCCCAATTACACTAGAACCTCTATTTAGTCAATATCAAACTTGAGTAAAATTTTTTCTTGTTTTATTAGATCGTACCAGAAAAGCTAGGAAAAAATTGAGCAACTGTCAACTGAGTTAAGTTGGGAACAGTCTTCTGAAGAACTGAAGGCAAAGCTAGAAATACTTGGAAACCTTCAAAATCTGACCTCCACCTTCCAACCCACTAAAGTCCAAGAAAGAACAAGAAATACAAGAACACAGTATAACTGCTTAATAGGGCCAAAATAAAACAAACAGGGCAACAGGGAGGAGCAGGCATGTGGTATTTTCAATTTCAGACAGTACAACAGAAATGCAAAGACCCGTAGAGTTACGGAGTTTCTCATCAGTTCTTTAGGATGAGATGTCCTGCTGCATCAAGCAGAGCAACAAGGTGATAAAAGTGGAATTCCGTTCTGGGACAGAGAGGAAAGGAAGCTAAAACTTTTAAAAAAATATTTTCATTATCATGAACAAATAGGGAAAAAAAAAAATCCCTTTGTTCACGAAAGACCTTGGTTGCACATCCTGCTAAGATTACCTGATATTCCCTTCAAAAGTCTGCTTGGAGTTGCTCATCATTTCATTAAAATCACTTGTTACAGCTGAAGTATATGGCAACTCTGCCTCACACTAAAGGGTTTTTGTTTGTTTTTAAGTTCCCCCAAAAATAGTGAAGCCATGATCAAGAATGAGGTGAAGGAAAAAAAATTACTGCTATAGTGGTGACTAATTTTTTTTTTTTAAAAGCCCTAGTGTTCCCTGATTAAGAGCAAGGAAAATTTGGCATGTCAGGTGTTCATTTATCATTTGTCAGGCATCCATTTACGATTTTCATGCAATCTTCCTAAACATGGGAAAGGTCTGAGATTTGACAAAACCCTCAGTTTCTGTATATTCATTTTTGACCTCAAAGTTTAACAGCTGAAATTTCCTAAGGTTCTGCTGGCAGTAAGCATGCTCCCTCCCAAGACTGCATATGGATAACTGAGAATGTCTGGGGTTATTGGAACAACATCAAGTTTTCTTTGAATTATTGATCTTGACCCAAATGAGACTAGAGACCGGCCAAGAGCAGAAAATCTTCATTTTTCAATAACTTCCAGTTCTAACACCTATCAAACACAGAGGCAGTGGCAGAAAAGGCAGGAAGAAGAAATGCAATTCACCACACACAGGGACCAACAGAAGTGAGAGTGAAATGGAAGATGGCAGTTAGGCACAAGATAATGATGAAATGGGAAGTACGAGTCATGAAGAAGGTGCAACATTGGGATAGATTACACAGAACAAGTTGGAAACTTAAGAGAAGGCAGAAAAATAAGACAGATTAGGAAGACTAGACAGGTAAAGATAACGGAACCACAGAAATTTATCTATGAGGATAATTGCTTTGCTATTGGAGCAGGCTGTCCTAAGCAACTTTGCCTGAATTCAGTGTCAACACTGCTTTGAGCCGGAGACTGAACTGAATTCCAATCATTCTATGATTCACAACAAAGGACAGTGAATGTTTTCTTTTAATAGGATAGATTAACTGTACAACACCTTCAGAGAAAAGTAGTGCTGGCCAAGGGCAAGTATTTCCCATTTGATCTTTTGAAACCGTTGGTTTAAATTTTGGGGTTTTGTTTTTGGTTTTTTTTTTTACTTATGCTTATATTGTTCAGTAGTCAAAGCTGCTTTGATCCATCAAAATATGTGCTTAAGGAAGTTAACCACAACCTAAAAGTAACTTGAAAACACAATGCTTTTGGTTTTTTCTCAAGTACTTCCTGGATACTAATTAGTTAAAAAAGGCACTGTATGCAAACTGTATAGTTCTCTACGGAAACACAGTATCTGATGACATCTTTCTGGAGTGAAAAAAAACATTGGCTGATACCTTACAAAAAGAATGAAACTTTAGCTGCAGCAAGACTGCTTAATTATTTATGTAATTAAGTGTGAACATAGGGCTTGAAAATTATATTCCCGTATCAATTTGCATCCATGTAAAGAATCTTAGAATGCTTGTTCACAGATTAAGTATCTTATCAAGTTAAAATCCTTTAATGTATTACCATTGTAAAGCCAGAAAAAACCCAAATAAAATTGTACTTCAATTTTGCACATGTAAATGTGTACAGATTCCCATCTATGAATAAAGGTTTTATACATCACACTAATCCTTCAATTAGTTTCTCACAGCTGAAATGCCAAGCAGTTATACTTCGTAGACAGAAAAAAAAAAAAAGTTCTTTTTTGCATGTAAAATACATCTGTGTCACATTCAGCACCAGAATTATTTTGATTCAAAACACACTGTCATAAATTCTTATTGGTTTGGACATTAATTGTACCATTAAAAGCAGTTTAAAAACTCTCAGAGGTTCCCAGTGGTTTCTTCTACAATCACAAACCAGTAGAAAGACAATATT